CAGTGTTAAATTTCATAGGACTGCATTCCAAAGCCCAGGATGCACAAGCAAAGATTCCTAGTTTCAGATGCCCAACTGACTAATAAATTAAGCTGTTCTTAAACAGCTGACTTTCCTTACAGCTACACAACAGCAAGTCTTTGGTGCTGGTACAAGGTCAAACATTTGGAGCAGTTGAAGAGGAGACGACCCATTTCAAAGCTCCTTTGTTCATAAGCTTCCACGGCCCAAGCTGCACACTCCTTAGACTTGGAAGAAAGTTAAAATGTTTTTTTAAACATTGAAAAGGTATTTCAGCAAGTTCTGTAGAAAGGCAGAGTAGCTTTTCAAATATGAAAGCGATTTTACTCTTTAAAATAAAAGCTTTTCCCCCCCAAAGCTTAAAATTGGCAGCATCTCTTTTAACATTCCTCTCCAGCAAGAAAACACCTTATTCTTACGTGGTTTGTATGCATCTGCAGATACAGCAAAGATTAAAAAACCCCAACCACCCAGACATAATTTCAAATACTCCTGGAAACTTTGTGGCTCTGTCCTGGAGATTTTAAGTAGATCCTGGCCAAGACCTGGAACTCACCTACAGTATTACATAAACTGTTCAGTGGTTCCCTAAACAGACACTGGATTGTGCTCAGCTGTTTCCCATCTGCTGTATCCTGCTCCCACCCTGCACACAGCATTTACAAAGCCAGAACTAACCCCTGCTGCATTTTGTGGGATGCTGGATTATAAAATTTCACACTGAGACTGAGTGCTGTGCTGAGCCTCAAACAAGAGGAGCAGCACATGTCATTGCCAGACCCCAGCCTGGATGTTGTATGTGAGCTCTTCTCCTGCCAGGGCTGGGCATGTGCAGAAGAGCTTGGGGCTGTTTTGGGTAAAAATCTGAGTTAGTTCTGGAGGGCTGTTGACCTCAGGGTAAGAAAGGTCTTAATGGTAGAGCTTAGTGAGATCTACTGGCCTGTCCCTGCTGAGGACTGCAGGTGCCTCTCTGGGGCTGGCCCTGGCGGTGCTGTGGGTCACACAGGAGAGCACAGTGGGATGGATTCCAGACTGCAGGGTGGCCTCACATCCCAGGCCCAGACAGAGCTGCTCAACCACTCTTCAGTGTTTTATGGATCTGACAGTGCCACTTCACTGCAGCTACAGCCTGTGTGGTTCACAGCCTTCTAAGGACACTGTCATTACTTTTGTCTAACCTGATGCTAGTACAGGCCAGCAAAAGTTAACCAAGTGCTTATTAAATTCGTATCTCTGTGTATACACAAACCCATGGCAGAAGACAAGAGGTTCATTTTGCCTTTTAACTCCTTTTTGATCTAGAAGAGTGCCTTCATTTAAGGGGCTTTCCCCCTCGATTTATTTACTTACTCGTAATTAATAATAAAAATAATTATTTTAAAACTTGCACGACCATTAATTTTCTGGTCTATTTTTGCTATTTTACATCAGAACACAAAAGGTTTGGTTTCATGACCACATATATGAGAACAGAGTGATTTATACATTTAGTGTCCCATTTAGCATCACTTTGTTAAATAATGCACTTTTATTTTTACACCATCATTTGCACATGCTAAAAGAGAACCCCTCTAAATAACCCTGTAATTGAAAGCTAAAATGTTCTCTTCAGAATGGCTTTTGGTATTTTCAATCAAAATGAAAAAAAGAAAAAAGTGAAAAAAATAGTGCAGTTCCAGTGAGCTAAAATCAAAACTCAACAATAGGTTTCTGCATTTTTATGAAAAATTACGATTTGATAATATGCTGAAGTTTCCACAACAATGACATAGTATTTTAACTTCTGGTCTAACTTCTGGTTCAGCTCCATTTAATTGCAGAGGTCAGTGGTACACAGAGGCCAGTGAGGTTAACTGTACTGAAGTGCTCTCCTTAGGAGTACCTTTGAATATAAATGCTGGAAAAATAACCAGAGCCTTTACCTATGACAAAATAATTTTATCTGTGTTGGTTCACTAAATGAAACAGTGAATTTTGTTGCAAAAAGCACACTATGCATTTTTTCCTTCCTTCAGCACTGCAAGTGCCAGAACATTTCCAGGGAATAAATTCAAGCATCTAATAAAGAGCAGTAAACAAAGTTAAGGAAAAAAAAAAATTGTTGGTATAACCAGTGGCAAGTACCCAAGAACTTTATGGTTCATAATTTTTGTTGATTTTGCAGCAATGGTAGAGATACAGGTGGTTTGGCCACGTATCTGCTACTTATTCAAATAGCTACAGGAATGAAAACAAAGCCAAGGGGCAAAACATTTAAAATTTTATTTTCTTAATAATTGCATTTGTAAGGTTAACTCATGCTGAAGGGGGATTGTGGAAACAGGAGGAGAAAAGTTCTGACTTTCCATCCAGACTAACTGAAAGTCAGATCGGTCCTGATCCTCAGTCAGGGAGAGGGACAAAACTCTGAAGTCTCAATGCCCTGAACTGCTGTCTAGGACAGGCTTTTATTGCTCCTCTGATCTTGCTACCAATGTGTTTCCACCAATGACTGAAGTTTGTTAGTTCTAGTCACAGGTCAGCTCTATAAATGCCTCAATGGGAAGAAAAAAGTAGTAAAAAAGCTTACTGTGGCGTTATTAATGATTCTTTAAATGAACAAACCACCTCTCTCTATCACTCCCTTCCCTGACTTTATCCTGTTCTTAACTGCAAGTCTCATTTCTTTTCTCCTTCAAGTTAAAAACCAGTGAAATGCACAGGTGTGGCACTTGGCAGAGATGATCACAGACCCCTCACAGGCCTTGTCTCTACCTGGTGCCTCCACAGGCTGCGACTGATGGAATTTTCCTCATAACATCAGCCTTCCTTTTTCTTGCTGTAGGTAAGGCAGCAACATTAATTTCTGCTGCTTCCAGGCCTGAGGTCAGTGCAGGAGGAGGATGGATGTATTCTGCTAGCCTGACTTTTATAACAGTCTGGATCACACTATTCTGCATAAACAGAAAAGCTTAGATGAATTTTATGTCAGATATACTTACTGAGAAAGCCTCATAAGTCTACTGTAATTCATGAGCCAAAAAGAAAAAAATACAAGGAAGGAAAGGAATCTGTTTGGCTTGATTTGTTGCCCACGTGCAAGCATCTGATGTGATACAAAATGCCCTCAGGTACCTTCCCAAGTATCCAGCAGCTGGTCCAGAATGTCTTTGATCTCCAGTAGGGTCTCACCCACATCTGGAAGCCCCATGTGTAGGTCTCAGAAACCCCGAGACTCATCCACCAGGAGCCAAAAGGAGACAAGTGGGGGATGAGTTTCAAAATGTTCTTTCAAGTCAGATTTTTAACCTAAGAACACCTTAGGATATCTCAGACCACACCAGATGCCTGTGTGAGCAACTGAATCAAATTCAGTTGGTTTGGGGAAATTAAAAAAAAAAAAAATCTGGTAATATTTTACTAGATGTCCTCAAAGAGCCATAAAAGGTAAAAGGACAGGAACTTTTGTAATTCAATAGCAAAGTAAAAGGATGTCATTAAAAAGAAAAAAGAAGAAAAAAAGTATTTATTTTCAGTTTGAAAGATTCTTTTGAGGGGGAAATAAAAAAGGACGTAAGGACCATGTGTTTTCAAGACAGGCAGAAGTGGCAGTGACATAGTATGCAGCCACTAATATACTTGCAAAGAACTAAAAAGAGGTAGAACTAATCATAAATGTAAATAATATGATCAATAATTGGTAAGAATATCCAATTATATTTCAACAACACCAGGGTTTTAAAAGTATGAAAGCAAACACCAGACCTACATCTCTCTGAGGCTAAAAAAAGGGAAAAATTTAGCCCAGCTACAAAACTTTGTATCAGCTTAGTCCTCATAAATGTTGTGAATTCTCTCAGTTTACCAACATAAGATTAAAATCAAACCTAAAATTTTATTTGGTTGTGTAAGTCACATCAGAAGAGCATAAATATACTTTAAAAATATTTAAGTGAGTTCAGTGCATACAGATGATATGCAGATATTTAGGAATGCTTCTGCTTGGTGGTGCAAACTGGTATGATCACAGGAAGAATTATATTTAGCTTTCTTCTTAAAGTTACCAGCAATAAGACTCATAGATACAGGGTTTCATTTTAAATTTTTCCCTTAAATTACGTTAGTGGAAAAGGCAACATTCCTCAGGATGACATTAAGATATAATTGATTATTTTTCCAGATTACAAGAGGAACATACTTCACCACAGTAGAGGATAAGCTTTTCAAAACCAACTGAAAAACCTCAGAACTCTCCTAAAAGCTTGTATGCTTCAGAAAAAAAATTGCTATGTATCTACCTTTAACATGGGCAAGAGGAAAAAAAGAAAGCATCTCCTCATGCCAGAAAAATGCAATTCAGAAAACTGCAAAAACTGCATAGCAACCTATCTGGGAAATGCTACCAATGTGTCCAATCTGTGCTTTTGTGTCCATTTCTCATGGCAATCTTTTATCTGGGAACAAAGCCACAATTGCTGAAACAGCTCTGCTTGTATTAAGTAGCAGTGTGTCCAACAGGCAACAAAGGCCAGCTCAGTTCTCAGAACAAATAACCTGGCTGGCTCCAGATGAGCTTGCTCAAGAAACAGCAACAACGCTGTCCAGAACCAGCCAGGGGATGTGCCTGGCCCTGGGCTGGCCTGGATAAACAAATCAAAGGTTGTTGTACGTAAGTTCACCTTTGAAGATCTGACATTTTAAGTTCCTCACACAGGAATGGCCAGAGCAGTGTTTTTGCCTACCTTGACAACGACATCCAGCATCAAATATTTGAACTATTACTGTGATAAGCTGATAAATACGGGAAAGTAAAGTTACAATTATTATTATTTTTAGAAGGTGGTCAGATACCGAAAAGGATGGTGTATCTTGTTGGTACCCAGAGAGAATATATAAATCACATACGAAGAAAACGAGACTATATGACAGAATATGGCAATTGCCACTAATAAGGAATTATGTCACTTTACCTTATTTTTAAAAACAGACTTAAGCACAGCAACAATCAGACAATGAATTTATTTGCAGGATACATTTATCATACATAGAAAACAATACTTATTGTTTGGTTAATTAAAGAGAAAAAAGCAAAACAAAACCACAATGCATTATTCAGTGTTCCATATATTTGTTAGCTGACATTTTCAAAATGAAGCTTTCTTTTTTTTCCTCTTTTTTAAAAAAACCCATGATCATGAACAATGCATAGTGGGAACAAAGGGTCTAGAAATCTAACATTCCACAGCTGTGAGTCACTGTGAAAAATAAGGCCATGTAAATGGAAAAAAAAAAACCCACAGTGAATTTCTAAACAATACATATTCCATTGACAGACTTCAGATAAGATCAACTAAGTACATGAAATCTAAAAACAATGTAATGTAAGGAAAAGATGAATTTAAAATATTAAGCAACAACTTGGAAATAGTTTTTCCTAGTGATGGCTTGGAAATAGCCTCCAAACTTTACCCAGCATCAGTGAAGATCAATTACACTATGATGCTGCAAAAACCATCCCAGGACGAACCAGAGGTGAGAAATACCCAAGTCCATTTTACAAAATAAGCTACAACTACCCCTGCTACTTATTCAGCACATATTTATTGAAGGAATGACAAAGTGTTAAGAAAAAAGTTTGACCACCAGTCACTGAATGATTCAGTGAAGGGCTGGAAAACATATCTTCCTGCTCTGAAATGTTAATTAAAAGTTCTTTTCAGGTTTCATGACAATGTAAATGGAATGAAAGGAATTGCAGTGTCATATCCTGCTCTTTGTTCCTGTCCTTTCACACCAGGTCAGCAGTGTGAAAGTTTCATAAAGCTGCCATGAACAGAAGTCCTTCACTGCCCTTAGAAGCTGCCATCTGCTCTTCACATGATGGAGTGGATGAGCCCAAGGACCAGGAGTCACAGAGCTGCTGTTTTCTGGCAGTCCTCAGTGCAATGTTCCCAAATGCTGCACTGATGCAGGGTGTGTATCCCAGATAACTCAGTCACATTAAATAACTAATCAATAGAAAGCATTACATGAAATTCAGGATAAAGAGGGTATAAAATATTTATCAATATTGGATCTTACCTGTGTTAAGATTCAAGATTCCTTATTCACAAAATTACAAGAACAAAGCTGAGGCAAGACTGGTTGTGGAAACTGGTCTGAATGCAGGTGTACAGAATGCATATTTTACAAATAACTACTTTTAGAGTTTAACTCACATATTTTTAAAACAATTAAATACAGACTAGCCTATATAAACCTTTTTAAGCCTTCTTCATCTGTCATTAGTGATATCCAGATCTGTAAGAAAGCTCTGAATTTGTAAGACATACATAATTTATTTTAAAAATATTCCTACAGGTCACCCTTTGACATAATGTAAAATGTATGGGAAGCTTTGGGAGCGGTGGGATTGCTGATGTGCTAAATGGAATAAAACATATCCTTATTAATAGAAAGCTGAAACACCCTGACTGCCATGGAGAGTTCTGTCCTGAAAACTTTATTTCTTCAGTATGCTCTGCACAGTCTTGTTCATCCCAGTTCTCCAGAAGAGCACAAACAGCAGCAGTAAGAGTGAAGACTGACCTTTTTCAGTCACCCTGAAAAAGCTGTGTTTACCATGCTTGTATAGCTGAGGCTTCACAGAAATAAGAGACATGCTTTAAACACCAGCTGAACAAAACTCATGCAGCTGTGGTTACATCATGTCCCCATCACTTGTCTTCTGTTAATAAAGAAGTTAAGAATTGCTTTTGGGAAGAAAACATAAGTTTTTCATTTCAAATCCAGAGAAAACCATAGAGAGAATTCACAGAAAGAATGAAAAAGAAAAACAAAAGCCTGCATTGCAGGATATGGAAGGTTGCTGTAAGCTATCCCTAAAAAAAGCATTAATCCATCTTATGGCTCTGTATGTATCTGTTATACAAATGTATGTATACATACATATCCACAAATGTAGAACTATCACATTAACATGGTTGTCACAGAAACTATTAACATGGTTGTTTCATTCTAAATAAAAAGGATGAGGTAACAAATTTTCCACTGTGGCTCATAATTTGGGATGACTAATCTGCAAGTTTGTCTGTACTTTTTCTACTGAAGCCTCTTTAATTTAATTTGTACAGAAGCAAGCTGGTTTTAAATTCCTAAGTTAGCAAAGAGCATGTAACATCTCCCATGCTAAGGAGTTTGCCACTTTCATGTCATATCATGCACTATCAGAATATGCTATGTAAATATTTGCTGATATAAAAAACTATTTCATTTTAAAAAAAGTAGAACAATGATTATAATTATGGAATTCTTCTGGAAATTTTCAAACAAAAGCTAAGTATAACATTTCTGAATATTAGACATTACTTTTTCCATCTGATACAGATTTAAAATGCATAGTATATACATAAATAATAGCAGCCATCCAGCCTTTAAGAGTGCTGTGTTTTATAGTCCAGCCAATATGCCCCTAAATTATATTGAGGAATTCTGCATTAAAGATTCTGAGGGGCTAATTAGAATAAAATATAGAAGGATTTAATTTAAAGACTTCCTATTTTTATAAAAACAAAACACACATCAGAAATACTCCAGTAAAAATCTTACACACAAAAATCACTCTGTACTTTTGTGTTTTCTCTTGCTAAATAAATGACCAAAACCCAAGGAAAAATCATCCCAGTGAGTGTATGTATGGCACATGCTTATCAGAATGTAATCCATATGTCAGGATTATAGAGAATGAAATGGACTCACTGAACAACTTCTTCTTCAGAGAGTAGTCCAACCTAACTATTACCTTTGTCCACACTAACCTGTGCTATCTCACCATTCGTACTCAGTTTGCTTAAAGTCTTGATTTAAAGAACATGTATATACCTAAATCAACCCGTACTCAGTTAAATTTTAGCATGTGGAGAAATGGACTCATGAACTATTTTTAAGCACTTCTCGCACTCTCCCTTCCATACATGATAGGTTATCTAGGGTCTTTACAGTGCACTAGTGTGTCTGTTTTGCTAAAGCCATGACCAATGTCTTCTCCACCCTCTTCTTGCTTATGAGGTCAGACACAGACTGAAGTTCTACTCAGTAGAACTGTGGCTTTCACTGACTGTAAAGTACACTGGCTTTAGCTTCATTTGATAAAACTTCATGTTTTGGTAGCACACTAAATAACCAGGAACTGCCTGCCAGTCTCATTATAGCAAATGAAATTTGTGCATGCCAATTCAGAAGCTTTGGGTTTTTCCAAATCTGTTGCCTACATTTCCATGAAAGGCATTATGCTAAAGGATTGTTCCAAGCCATTGTAGTCAACATGAATCAATAAATATCAAACTTGACAAGTTTTTAAAGCAAATATCCTGTCTTATTAAGCTACATTAAAACTTCTAAGTCCAAATTAATTTTTTGCACTGTAGATTGAATAAGACAGAGAAAAGAGCCACTGAAAGAGCTCAGATAAGAAAACAGCCACTGAGGTGAGACAGCAGTCTGGAACAGTCTCAGAGCCAGGCCTTGGGCAAGGACCAGGCTGCTCCTGTCCTCCTGTCCACCAAGGGATGGCAGAGTGGCCCATCAGAACTGCTACTCTGAAACTTCTCTGTGTTTCCAGGAGTAATGACAAATTAGGGTTACAGTTTTTCCTTTCTTGCACTTTGTTTTACTTTTAATGGTCCCCAAAGGGGCCAGCTCACACTCAATGGAAGGATTCACCCTCTCCTACCAGGACCTGTCCCAGCTTGCCTGGGTTGAAATGACTGAAAAGGAGAGGCACAGGCCAGCCACCCCACAGAGTAAACTTCAAGGGCCCACTCAGCCTGTGGCAGCACTGGAAGGGGATATAAACTAGCAAACAACAAATAAATAAACATGGTTTCACATTGCTGCTTTATCATTGTAAGAAAGGAGTGCATCTTAAATGTGAAAGTTACTGTGCAAAAGTACACATCAATGTACTTTGAAATTACCCAGGCTTTCACCTCAAGTGCCAAAATAATCTATTTTACTTGGTCATGGATATTTCAGCACTCCCTGCAGGCAAGGAGCTGTAAGCTGAGGTTCCACTTCAGTTCCTGATGGAAAGGCCATTTCTGTAAAGGAATTCTGAGATGCAGCAGCTCCTATGGAGAACACTGTATGAGGCAGAAGTTGTAGGGTATTTAAAAAAAAAATTTATATTTCAAATATTTAGGTTCCCAAACCAGAGCATTTTTGTTTAAATCTCAGCCTATATTGAGCAAGGCTCTTGACTGAACCTGATTTAGATAAACTAGGCAATATATCACAGGAATAAAAGACATGAAATATATAATCCTATTGGGTACAAAATATTACAAACCTAAAGAACTTCAAAGCACATCAGACATACTTCAGTCAGTAAAACACTGACTTGTCCTTCCACTGTTCATTTAAGAACAAAGATATGGTCTGTATTCATCTCAGAAAGCAAAGCCAAATGTTTAAATAGTTCAAGTCACAATCATATTCTTCCTCTAAATAATTCATATCTAAGACAAGCTAAATATCTTTGTTAGCTATCTTTGAACAGAATGAATCCTAGCAAAGGAAAATTCCCTTTGAAATACAGAAAACCATCAGTGAGTTACTGTACATATTGCATGCATAGCATCAGAAAATAGACACCATAAAAACAACAGGTTTCACTTTCAACTGTGAATAGGTAGAATACAGTATTATTTTCTGAGTAAAACACCACAAACATTACGTATCACTTAGGAAAACTGTGCACAGCATACTTCAGCACTCAGAAACTATAATTTCAGTTATCTTGTAGCTATTGCTGACAAATATTGCCTTTAAAAAAACTTCAGCTGCATCTGATAACACACAACTGAAAGTGTAAGCAACACAAACATGTGGGCTTTGTTATCCCCCCACATGCTTCCTTTTTAGCAGACATTGGCACTTTTCATCTACATCCTGAGGACAACATTCCTCCAGTCATTTTGGCCAGGTGGAAAGGAAAGCCACTAACCCAAATGGCTGCTCTCTCCCCATTAATACATGGTAAGCATTTACCTAGATTTTGCCCATTTTGAGACCAGAATTTAGGGCTTCTTAAAATCCAGTTTGGTAGAACACCAGACTAAAAAAACCAAAACAAGTCACTGAAGAATATGCTGATGGAGAAATGATCAGAGCCCACACAGACAATTATTTAAATTATAAAATAAAACTTTTTTTTTCCTCCCACTTTACAAATGTTTGAGATAAAATAATTCCCTTATTTTGAGATCTGAATTAATGAAGTCTGATTTTTTCCTATGAAATCTTAAAATGCAATTTCTCCAAAATTAATACAGTGCTTAAAGAGTAAATAAAAAGGCTCCTGCTTTTTCCTATTAAATTTCCCATGACCACAGGCATGGTGTTAGGAAGTTTTAAATTAAAACAGCAACCACCAGTTGATTGTTCTTTCAGTCTCATATTAGGGGAATTATTTCAATCTCAGTGCTGGACAAATTTTAAAAGGTAATGGATTCATTATTTTTATTCATTATACTTTGAGAATTGATGGAAGAATGTCCAAGGTTCTATCGCGCTGTCACCATCCAAAGTCCCAGTGCAACATTGGCAGCCAAAAGTGCACTACCAGCAAGCAAAATCAAAAAGCCAACAAACTCTCTGTTTTGTTTTTCTACAATTAGGGAGCTCAGTGTGGCTTCCAGGAAGGAATTTAATATCCACTGACCATCCAAAGCGAAGCAGGGCACAGCGTTGACAACTGCCAGTGCTCCTGATAGTGAGATGAGGTACCTGGTTGAATGTAGTTAAGGTTCATTAAGAGTATCTGAGAAAATATTTAAAAAAAGGTAATAAAAAATAAAGATATAAGTATTGTATTTCTAGTATGCAGACAGAGACATATAAAGGTTATTTTTCTAGCTGCAATTCTGTTTCACAGAAATTTATGAGTAAAATTAGTTTTATGCCATAACATAGCCACTCAGAGAATTGCCTTTACAGATTTTTATTTTTTAAGAGCTAAGTTTGGGTACTTAAACCTGCATTCGTCACAACTTGAGTGAAATCAGGAGATGGCAAAACCACCATCTTTGCTTGCTTTGTGTGGTTTTGGAGGAAGGTTATAGCTCTGACACCATGCCTGAACTAAGAAGGTATTCTAGACCCAAGTATGAAATCATGATTAGGAATATTTTCCAAAACACTCCCTAGAAAATGACTAGAATATCATCAGAAATCTGACCTATCTCTCCTACTTACCTGTCAGGCAGAAAAGCTGAGTGGATTTCTGTACGTGTGTGTGCACGTGAGAATGAGGCATGGGTAATTTTCACTGCTGGTTAAAGGCTTGCTAACTGCAGTACACACCTCCATCCTGAATGGCCTGGCAAGAGGATACAGTCAGAAAGCAGCTGGAGCAGCGTGAACCTTGATGTGTTCTCAGAAAATGGGAACTTATGTACTACCTTTCCTCTGCTTCTATGGACTTGTTACTAAACTGAACTACACAGTTTAGTTATTCTATGGGCAGCACAAACATTTCAGTTTCTAAGGCTAAGGGTTCCTAGATTAGCCACATTCAAGTATACTAATCTATATGTATGTGTGTGTATATAATCTTGTTCATTAATAAGCAAGAGTTAATTGAATCATCCTGTTTTTTGAACAGCTATTTTTTCTTTTGAAGAAAAAAAAAAAAACAAAACCAAAACTACCATATCCTGTTATTTATCAGTAAAATGATACAAAAATTAATAAAATTCTGATATTGCAAAGCTAGCAAGAACATCTCATCTTTCCTGACTTAAATGCAAGCTTACTTTGGCTTTCTTGTCACATCTGTTCAGGCTCACCCTCAAGAGTTAAAAAAAAGCACTGACCAAAAATATGCTCTTAATCACAAGAAAGTGAGAGATTTCATTTTTAGCTTGGCACATGGACAATAATCAATGCAGAGATAGGATAAAGATGTCAATTTCTACAGAAATATTTTAGGGCATCCTGTCTAAAACGACATCCAAATGAAGTTTTGCTAGGTCACTAAATTCTGAACAGTTCCCTTCTTACCTTAAAAGAACAAACACACTTCAAAGGATACTTGCAAAATGTCTCTATCATCACAGGCAGATCAATACTCAGAAAGTTTTGTCGTGGTACAAAACTGCTGAGACTTACTGAAATGAAAATACACAAAGCATGAAAAGACATTTCAGGGTTATAAAATTATGAATTTTAGATTATAATTTTGCAGAAAAATCACATGTGAAATGACCCTCTTCCAGGACAAATAATCAATCTCAATAAGGGTTTCATTGGTTTTTTTTGTTTTTACAAGAGTGCAGCTTGTAAGCAGGCTCCACTATATTCCAGTATTTTTCAAAGAAAAGAGACTATAGGTACCAGACATTTTCAACATATGCAGTCCACATGCACTCTGTGGGTGCACATGTGTATTTTCTCTGAAGGCCAGAAAAATTTTCTCTGGCAGTACCTGCAGAAGATCCCTGGGAGAGATAGGGAGCAGGATTCTGGAGTCCCTCTGAGAAAGCAAAGGCTGTGAGGGGATGCACAGCTGTATTACACAACACCAGTCAGCTGATGCCTCAGGTTTTAGCTTTTATAGTTTTCAGATTCTGTTCTGCTTTAGTGTGTAGTTCTGAGCTTCATATTGTGGGATGGTAAACTCTCTTCACAGAGTAGGGAGACAAAGCAATCCCTTCTCTAGCTGGGGACCAAGGACAACAAATCTCAGACCCAAGAGCATAAACAAAAGTGGAATGAAGAGAGAGAAACAAGAAGGATGGGACTTCATAACCTAAAGCTCTAATTGGACAATTAACTCCAATATGCTAATGAACCAGAACTTATAAAAATGAGAGACCTCGTGACCAGTTGTCCATTTTGTGACCATTTTGACTCATCTTAGGTGTAGTCCTGGCTGGGCTCTTGGACTGCCCAAGGTGGATCTATTGAGGCCTTTTAATAAATGCCTACTTTATTCTTTGACTCTGTCTAGCCTCTGTTCTAAGTCAGCCTTCACAAGGCATCATAGCCAGTACATAAGTAACTTTTCTGTGTTCAGATGGTAAGTGACTTCAAGATATAACTTGGTGTGACTTAAAAACCTGGGAGGTGGGACTTGGCAGCCTTTAAAATAGTGACTGGAAAATTGCAGTGTCAATGACCACATGATCTTGAATACTTTATTACTGTACCCACTGTTCTTTGAAGGTGTACATGAACCTTCAGTAGACTGCATGTCAAATGCTTCTGAGAGATTCTTCAAGGCAAGTGCAGTAGTTTGAGACCTGCCAGAAGGCACTAAGTTGGTACAGGGATTTTCCACCTGGGTAGCATTCTGGATCTGCCAGCACCAGGGGCTGTTTGAGAACTATTCTGTGATAGCTGCAAAAAAAAAAAAAAAGCCTTTCCTACTAAAAGGAAGGCACAGCGAGCTCTCATCCCCAGAAGGAAGAGGTTAGGGTAAATTAATGCAGAATTAGAGAACTACCTTGAGAATAAACTTGCATAGTACCACCAATACTCTCTGCCTTTAAACAACAACTTTAGATGTGAGCTGCCAGCCACAATGGTCTGAATTTTCCCTACGCTATAGTCATAAGAAATATATACATCTACAGAGATATTTGAAGGGAAGAGTTCAAATCCCACTCAATACAAACACCTTTTGGGAAAGGAACCCACCCTTGGAGAAATTTAACCATAGGCTAAGAGAACACTGGGAACATAACATACCAAAAGTAGTATATATTTCTTAGGAGTGAGATCAGATTTCTTCAGGTTCACTAAAGAATTCAAGGACAGAGCAACAAAGGTGAGAGAAAGTAGTTCTAAAGTCACATAAGGCAGAGAACTGGTCCGTTCAGCCACATAGAGACATTTTTTTCTGTTAATAGATGCCCTTCTGATAAGTCCAGACAAAAAATACACCATGGGTTGGAAAGATATGAACAGCAAGGAGAACAAAAAAAAAAAAAAAAAAATGGGTTTGATGTGGCAACAATCAGAGAACTTTTCAGTATCAAAACTGCCAGTGTGCTTGAAAGTCATGTTTTTGCTTAAAGCTTAAGACTGACCTTTGATTTAGGGGAACTGAGAGAAAACAAATCTGTTGGATGACTAAGTGAAGACCACAACAGACAGAAATCCTGGATTGCCACCCCGCTCAGAAAGTCAGAAAGTCAAGTCAATCACAGAATGATTTGAGTAGGAAGGGACCTTAAACATCACCCTGTTCCAACATCTACTAGACCAGGTTGCTGAAAACCCCATCCAGCCTTGCCTTGAACACTACTGGGGATGGGGCAGCCACCATTTCTATGGGCAACATGTTTCAGCGCCTCACCATAGTAAAGAATCTCTTCACTTTATCTAATCTCTTTCTAGAAGAAAGCCTGTATGATAAGCCACTGATTATCAGAGATACAACTGGGAAGTTCTTTGAAACATTCTATGTGTTCTTCTAGCAGTTTTTAGTATCAAGGCATGGTAAAAAAATGTTGAACCAAAAAAACCACCAAAGATGCAAAATGTTTTTCCCATTATATCTATTCTACACACAGAATTACTCAACTAAATGCCATATTTTATTAAAACACTCCTTTAGCCTTATTTTAGAAATTACATAGGTTAACCAAGCAGACACCACAGCCTTCTGCAGCTTGATAAAGGGGCTTTCCCCAGTGCAGGTGCAGGACCTTATACTTGGTCTTATTGAACGTCATGGGGGTTCTTTTCAAGATTGTTCAGGTCCCTCTGGATGGCTTCCCATCCTTCAGGTGTGCCAACTGCACCACTCAGCTTGGCATTATCTGCAAACTTGTAGAAGGTGACTTGATCCTGCAGTGGGGAGGCCATTTCCCAGCCTTTGGGTGGAGCTGCCCTATGGGGATGTGCTCGCCCTGCTTGGGAGGGCAGCTCCCCAGGAGCACCCCGAGTTCCATCCCCACACAGGCCCACCCTGGCTGCCCACTCATTCCAGGGCCATGAGGTCACACAGCCCCAAGGTGCTCCAGCAGCTCTCCATGAGCACCCTGAGTGCCATCCCCACACAGCCCTGCCCTGGTTGCAACAAGGCCATGAGGTCACAGAGCCCCATGGCACTGCACTGGCCATAAGAACCAACTACTCAGCCCCCATCCTCGACTGCAGCAGCAGCAGCAGTGTGGTGGAAGGGGGACCATGGCCTTTGTCCACAGTCTTTTCCTTTCCCTCCTCATCCTCCTGATGGTCCTGCATCCTGGGGCTGCCAACTATGCTCCACAGAAATCACAGGAAGCAGGTAAGCTGCCAGCATGGGTCCAACCCTTCATGGGCCAGATGGGGGGTTTTCTCACCAATATGTTTTTTCCTCCAGTGCTTTAGTGAGGGTTTCCTCTGTGTAAGCACTTTCCTGGTAAGGGAATCTCAAGGGTTCATCTCTCCTCCAGGGGTGTTGCACATTGTACTTGAAGAGTGTTGAGCTGCCAGCTCAGAGGTTCCCAGGTCCTCCTCTGCAGCTCTGGTGATCCACTGACATCTTGCTCCCATGTTGTTACCTGACCCCCAGTGCTTCTGTACACAAAAGCAGAAGATCCCAACACACAATGGAAACACTTCTCTGTGCTTGCTTCTAGCTGACTCTCTAGCAGATTCTCTGGTAGCTTGGAAGAAAGATGGTTTGGAGCTCTTGGGTGAGCCTGAAGCATGTAAATTCTCAATGTCCCTTCCTTTGAAAGAATAATTATCACTAATGTGTCAATAGCTTACTAATGAATAATTTTCTTTAAGATGTCAAGGCTGATGGCTTGCAGAAATCTCCAGCTGCCAAGTATATGCATAATCCCACAGGTAAGTTAGTTGGAAGTTACCTTTTAACCTTCCTTCCACGTCAAATGCAAGTTGCTCATTCCAAGGCTGATGCCAGCCTGCGTCATGGTAGTTGCTGTCCTATGGTCTGCACAGGATGGCTTTGTGGCAGCAGGCTCTTTCCCCAGTGCCTGATCTTGCACATCATATCAGCAACTAAGCTGAAAGTGTGTTAGGTTCAAGACATCTGGATACCATTGCAGAGACAGTGAGAAACTGGAGTCTTACACAAACATAGCTTGCCTGCAGCTCCATCCCAGAGCTTGCCCTGAGTACCTAGATGACCAAAACAGAAAAGTAGCCCCAGGCAGGATCCCTCTCATGAGCTGAAGGTCCACATTAGTGTTCTGACTTGTATATTGGGCAAGGAAGCTAGAGGGAACCTCCTCACCCTCCTGCATCCTCCGTGCCTGAGCCATACTGAAGCTTTACCTGTATCTGCTTTATGGCAGTGCTGCTCAAGTCTGGAAAAAAGAATGCGCAAGCTGGTCAATCTTCTCAAGCAGACCCAAAGCACTCAGGTACTGAGCAGTCCTGCTGGGGTCCCTTATGGGGAGACACATCCTGAAACCTGGGAGTGGCCTCAAGGGGTGCACATGCTGCAGAAAAGGCAGACAAGGAGAGCAAAGCTCAAGTATCGCCTGTGAAGGCTCGACTCCATCCCCTTGGGGCGTGGGAGCGGGCCCAGAGAGGGAGAGTTTCAGGTGGAACTTCCTGATGAGTTTTTGCTGAAGAAGTGCCAAAGAAGTGGCCAAGCTCCCCACTGTGCTCTCCTCCTGATCATTTGAGTTCTGTTCAGAGGGACAACCTGTCCCCAAAGGGTGGGAGTATGCCTCCAGGCTCACCACTGGGCGGAAAACAGAGAACATTCTGTTGATATCAAACATGCTGGAAGTTCACAAGTGGTAAACTGGCAGAGGACAGGCTAACACTTTGAATTGCTCTGCAGAAATGGCTGGAGAAACAACCAAAAGAGCTCCTAATGACACTGAGCACATCAAAAGCATTTTCTGTCGTGGAACAGGCTGTATGATAGGCATGGTGATAGCCGTGGTTGCTGTGCCAGCTGGGATACTGATATGTTCTCTCACAATCTGCTGGTGGTGTAAGAGAAAACGGTGAGTCATTGACCCCCTCACAGCTCCTGCTTTCTTCAAAGTTGGCTCACAGCCACAAAGCACTTCTAGTCAGGCTGCTGTGCAGCAGCAAGTTAGTGGTTGGTTGAAAAACTCTGATGAGGCTTTTGCAGCTGTCAGCAACTTTAACTGGGTCTTCTCTTGGGGAGCCTTCTTGCACTGGAGACAGT